TTGTATTCATTTCACTGTTTCATGTCTCTTGCACGAGCTCACACAATCCCACGGCCTCTCTCTTCATGCAGAGCAGTTAGAACCTACTCATCCAGCCGGCCTGAGCTCACTTACTATTCTCCACTCATAATTTCTTGCTTGCTACACACCCTCACTTCCACTGCCACCCTCCATGGAAGAATCTCCTCTGCTCTGCTCTGCTTTATCTTCAGCTTGCTTTAATAGGCTCTGCGCATGATTCTACTTGCTGTTGGTCTTTGTTTACTAGGTGCTAGACCCCAGCGTCCACTGCCTCATCCTTTGGGGGACAGTCTCCTATGGCTGTTTCTCACCACAGAGCTTTACTGCCAGGCCTAGGGTCCGTGTCTTCTGCTCTGATCTAATTCTCATGAGCCACCTACAACTGGCAGGGTTTATCTTTATTATATGTGAAGTAGTATATCATGGTGGTTTGATGTCAAGTTATCTGACTGCGTCCTGACTCTACCAGTTTACTTTTGGTTGGTTACTTACTACTTGGCTTTGGGCAAGTTACTTCTCTGTGCTTCAGTTGTCTCATTTCTAAACTGAGATAATGATAATGCCTCCTTGTAGGGCTGTTACAAAGTTTAAATGGGACATCCGTATGCTTAGAACAGAGTCTGACACAGAGGAAGCACTAATCAATGTTGGCTCTCATATTTTAATAATAATAATCATCTAAATAATTTGAATAGGAAACTCGAACAGTCAGTAGATCGAATTGCTTTATTTAAAGTGTCCTAGGGAATAAATTTACCATATGTTCCAGCAATCCCATTCCTGGACATATATCCAGAGGGAACTTAATTAGAAAAGATACATGCACCCCAGTGCTCATAGCAGCACTGTATATAATAGCCAAGATATGGAAACAACCTAAATGTCCATCAGCAGATGACTGGATAAGAAGCTGTAGTATATTTATAGAATGGAATACTACTCAGCCATAAAAAACAATACGATAGTGACATTTGTAGCAACATGGATGGATCTGGAGATCATCATTCTAAGTGAAGTAAGCCAGAAAGAGAAAGAAAAATACAGTATATCACTCATATGTGGAATCTTAAAAAAAAATAAATTTTGAAAAGAAAAAAGAAGACACAAATGAACTTATTTACAAAACAGACTCACAGACATAGAAAATGAACTAATGGTTACTGGGGGGAAGGGGGTGGGAAGGGATAAATCGGGAGTTCAAGATTGGCAGATATTAACTACTGTATATTAAATAAACAAATTTCTGCTGTATAGCACAGGGAACTATATTCAATATCTTTTAATAACCTATAATGAAAAAGAATATGAAAACAAATATATGTATGTATATGCAGGACTGAAACATTATGCTGTACACCAGAAATTGACACATTCTAAACTGATTATACTTCAATTAAAAAAAAATGTCCGGGGGAACGATGGCCAACATGAATGGTTTTCATCCACTTACGATAAATCAATGTGGAGGCTCATGGTGGTTATATTTGGTTTGGGGACAGGCTCTGAAAGGCTGTATAAATTTTTCCTGACTCTTCACCTGAGGGGAAACAGAGATTATGCACATGCTGGGGGAAAAAAAGTCCACATGATACTAGTTTTCTGTTTCTCTTTCAAAATGTAAATGATTCCCCTTAGGACACAGCTCTGTAGACCAGTACTCAGCTGCGTGGCTCTCTCATGTAAATTTCCCTGCTGCTTTACATTGGAAATATCTTTTTAAAACCTTGGCGTAGTTTGTTAACCGAGGTTCTTCTTTAAAGCACCAAATTGCCTTCACTTGTGTCAGATCACAGAGTCAAGCGGAAGCAGCATCTCTAGGCTCACAAACAATATTTTTCAAAGAATTAAGGGCTTGATTTTTTTCACTGGCTAGTTCACTCACTGTCCTTTGACTTCATGTGTCATGGGATCAAATCTGTTGAAGGTGTATTAGGTCAACTCACCAAGGGATATGATTTTTTTTTTGCTCGTTTATCTTTTTCAGGTATATTAATAATGAATGTCCAGTCACCAAAATTACATCTCGCTTGAGGTTATTTTTACCATGTTGAACTATTCTGGTAGTATATCTAGTCTTATTAGAAATTGGAAATTTTGCTGTTAAGGGGATTTTCATGCACAGTTTAATAATTCAGCTCCCTGCACCCCTGGGCAAAATAAATAGCTAGCTGACTGCTTATTGGCAAAGTCACAGCCAATTATTATATTATTTGAAACTTTAAATGTGCCCCCAAGTAAATGTTGAAATTACCTGTGGGAAAACAAAGGGTTCAGGGCATTAAGGCAGCATTGTTTTATTACCATATGGTGCATTTTCTTCATGGAGACCTGCTGCAATTCCCTGATGTTAGATGAGAAGGGTTACTCCTCTAAGTTTTAAACACTGGTAAATAAGTTAGCTCAAATATCTATTTAGTAAGAATTCCAAAGAGTCGGGGTAATAGTATTGAATTCTGTCAACTAATTACTTTTAATTTATTCATGGTTTTGAGCACCGATTTTGCGTGACGCACTGTTCTAGTCAGTTGGTATCCATCAGTCAATAAAATTGTTAAAGATACTTGCCATTATAGAGGTTGGATTCCATTATGGGAAAGGGGTGGGGGTAGGGAAACCGACAATAAATGATAAATGTACTAAGTAATTCTTTGGGTATGTTAGAAACTGATCAATGCTGTGGGGGAAAGGAGACTGGGGAAAAGATGAATTTGGAGTAGGAAAAGAGGCCGCAGCTTAGAGAGGTTTGGGGTGAAATGCTTGTGCTGCAGAAATGGTGCATGACACACCTATGTGGGGTGGTGGAGAAGCCGGGAGAGCCAAGTTGCAGAAATCTCTATTTTCACCGTAGAAGTCCTGTCAGAGTTTTAAAAATGCATTTCATTCTCCCTCTTCTCTCTCCTGTTGGAGTGCAGTTCCTAGCCTTGTCTCTCAGTGCTAGAGATAAAATAAATTATAAAGGAAATGATATTACCTGGGCTCTCAGATCCTATGAGAGCCAGCCTAATTTTGGCTCTTGTGGGTAGCATATTTCCCATTAGTTGTCCCAATTCACAGTGGATGGATGAGGAAAGCATTGAATGAGATACGCGGTTCAATTCAACAAGCACTTATCAGTACCTCTTTTTTTGCCTAGAACGACTTTTATTCAATTTAAGTGATACAGAGATGCAGGAGTCCTTACAGAGCCTTCAGCTGTGTCATAAGATGAGCCACAGACAAATGAATATCTGAAAGAAAATTATGAGGCCATGCCAAGCAGACGTTGTGTATACAGTCACGTGTGGAGGAGAATGTCATTGTCATCCAGAGTTAGCCCAGGGCTTTCTGGACAAGTGAGACCAAGGTGAGACCCTTGTAAGCTTGAGAGTGGTGGTGAAGCAAGTTTGAGTAATTGGGAAAGGGGTGACCGCGTCCCATGAAGACACAGAGGCAGAAAGGGTAGAGCTCCTGGGATGGTTAAGGGAGAGAAGTCTGGTCAAGGACTTCATGACCAGGAGTCATTGGCCACTGGACTAACAGAAGGATCTCCACACTCCAATGTCTTAGATGTAGGGGAACAACACCTATATCAGACTGTTGTCTCTCCCTAAAGACGCAGAGCTGAACAGGAGGAGTCTGGTTACAGAAGTAATTCTATTACCTTTCACCTTAGAAAGTAAAATGGAGACTGGAGATAATTATCTCCAGAAAACAAAACGGTGCCTTCTTTTTTTTCCAATTACATGGATATATCCTACTAATCTAGGAGCGTGGCCTGACTTCTTTCTGTCACTGGTCACAGACTTTGAACTTGAGTCAGGAGAACGTTTAAAAACGGGGACTGCGCTGCTGAGAGGGGAAAGAGAAAGAAAAGGGGGAAGTGTTAGAAGGCACCCCAGGATGCACGTTTAGGCTTACACCCAGCAGGCTGCCCTCCCCCTGAACGCTTTGCCTGGCAACCCAGGATGCTCAGCGGAAGACACCTGTGCTCTCTTCTCGTGGGCAGCCTGGAGGAGCTGGGCGACCTGCAGGCCAGGAAAGGTCAGCTCCCAGCGGGGAGCTCTGTCCACGTGTCAACCAAGATTTGGGGAAGAGTAGGGCGCGTCTGGAGGTTGACACTTTGTCAGGCTCTCTCCCTCCTCTGGTTCCTCAGGTCAGGCTCTCATCTAGTCCCACCCCATTCCCAGGTTTTTGGCCGACGCTGTATCCCTGAAAACCGCCTCCAAGAAGCTACCCCCCCCCCCCGCGGAGAAGCCTGCTCCCCGCGCAGCCGCCGCTAAGACCCGGAGAAGTGGAATTTCACTTTGAAACTCCCGTGCGGCGCGAGGGCCAGCGCCGGGCATGCTCAGTAGCCGCGGCGCGTCGGGGCTGCTGCTCGCGCTGCGCTGGCCCCGGGCTCCAGGGCTGGCGCGGGAGTCCCGCCGCCGCCTTCCGCGCCGCGGGCTGCGGAGCTTCCAGAAGGCCGAGCAGCGGCCGCTCCGAGCGCCTCGGCCCCCGCCCC